TAGTATTCTTAATCAATGTTTTAAAGTAAAGAGCAAGAGCAAATTTATTGAGGGACTTAGAACACAAACTTTGTGAATGATCAATATAACCAAACGAAAGACTTAAGACACAAACTCGCCGAGTGATTACCCAGCCAAACAAAAAACACAACTTGAATGAGAACAAAGTTACTAAACTAAGAGTTAAGAGTGAACACGCCTTTTAAACGAAAGACTTAAGACACAAACTTTGTCAGTTATCTAAATATTCCAATTATAAGACTCAAAAAACAAACTTTAGTGAGCGATCTAATCAAATGTCTTAGGCGAAAGACTTGAACAAGAGCAAACCTTCTTAACGAAAGACCTAAGATGCAAACTTGTTAGCAAATGCTTTCACAATTCGAACACAACTTTCGATTTCGATTTCGGCTAACGACAACAGCCACAGAGGAAAGCGCCAATAATTAGGCAAAATTGCTTAAGCAATAAAGTAAGATATTAGGCTTTTTGGCATTTGCCACCAATTAGCGACTTTAACGAGCCAACACTGAGAGCACTGAATTAAACTGAAAACAAAGCCAAGCGTAGGCAAATTGACAAATTAGCTGAGAGAAAAACAATTTTGTTGAATTACAACCGCAAATTAACATCCGCTCGAGTTTGTTTACCAAATGCAGCAACAACAACAGCTGCAACAACGATTAAAGATCTGTTAATTGATTGAAAACACGTTGCGTTGCTGTCGTGTTTTTTTGCCCATTTCTGGGCAATTTGACAAACTGGCCAACGAATGCAAATTCGTGTTGCCTTAAAGTGATGAAGTCATAAAAAATTTATGACTCTCAGGCATCGGCTTATATGGCTATTTCATTTTTCTCGACTTTTTATAACTTTTTGTATTATTAGACTCGCATAGTCGTAAAGTCTGAGCAAATAATAACGACAAATTCCTCGATTGGCCATATAATTTCAGTTAACTATCTCTGGCGAATCGCATAACCCGTTTAGTTGGCTCTGCTCCTCTATTATGCCAAATAAAGTAGTCAAATCGCATAATCAACAAGTTCATTAACATTTAACCCTAAACGCATTCAACCACCAAAGGCGACATATGTATTTAAGAAGAAACAAAACAACAAAAAAAACAAAAAAAAAAACTAAAAATAAATATTAAAAATTAAATTATTTTTAAGCGCCTCAAGCGATATTCGAAAAGATTTAGTGAGGCAAGCGCCCAAGTTGTTGGCAAACGATTTACGAATCAGCTTCAATTTCAATTAAAGCGAAAGCGAAGCTCTGCTAAGACAACGAATTTCAAATACTCTAGGTGTTAGTACTAACCAAAACTATTAGCAGAAAATAACATTAATAAATTAAAGGAAATTCTCAACTTCAATTCTTAACTTTTATAAGCTTAAATAGTTAAGTTTTTGTTGATTTTTTAATGCTTATGAATTTTGTATTTTGTTTTACAAACTGAAATATTTAAATTAGGCATAATTTTAAATATCTCTTCTTACTAGATGTCAGTGAGTATCAACATCATAATTTTATAAGACGATCAGCAAATGAGTTGTCTATATAATCTCGTATGGTACTAAATTTGTGAGTATTGATTAATAAAAGGTACTAAATACTACTACTGTATACTACAATATATTAATACATTTTATATTCCAATACTAAATACTGCTACTTATTTGCACTGTTTCCTACAATATCCCTCTTATTTTTAGTGCTATTCACTATTTCTTACTAGTTGTTTACTACCATATGCTATGCTACTACTGTTAGCTGCCATATTCTAAGTTTTACAACTTTATATTATTTTTACTACTACTAAATACCACTACTTGCTGCAAGTTTTTGCTGCAAAATTTCACTTTTTACTACTATTTATTATGAAGCTTAAAAAGTCTCACAGGATTTTCAAACACTGATTACAGCGGAGGGTAGAGCACACAAGTGAGGGAATTGTCTGCAGATCGAGGCCTAATATTGATACTAAAACATAAATACTATATATGAGTGTGTGTGTGTGTGCGTGTGTTAATGTATATGCTCTGGCTTAAGCTGGCATCATTAATAACTCTTGCCGCCTCTCACGCTGGCACTCAGCACAAGCTGAAGACCGACGCATGAAAAACGCGTTTCTTCAGTGTGTAAAATATGAATTTTAAATTACCCCCACACACACACACACACTCACACACGCACGGAGATGCGAACACACTTGTAGTAAGACTCCAAACTGAGAGTTGGTTAAAACCGTTTAGCGTCGTTGACCGCCAGAGGGCGCGCTCGTGGCTGCCTTGTCGGACATGTGTTTCTGTTTCTGCCTTTATTTTTTGGTTGGATATTAAAAAATTTAGGAGGAGGGGGAATGGGGAGAGCAGAAATTGCATATGAGATAAGCGAGCGGACAGAAAAAGTGTCGCGAGCCAAATTAAGTTGTCGCCGCAATTAAGATTAAAATGCATTCGCACTTGCATTCATTGCCCGCAGCGAAAAAAAAAACAGTATAACAGTATAACAGATAGCAAATCATTAGCCGCAAACAGTAGTCAGGTGTTGGGCCGGGGATGGTGGATGGGGTGGCTGGGGTAAAACTTCGCTCATTAGCAGCTGGCTGGCGGCTCCCAGAGCTCGTTAGATACAAGCGCAGAGGCACATAAAAAATGTATGTATGTGTAATCAAAAACAAGTTAAAAAAAAGTTTAATTAACGCGTTTTTACGCAACTGTCGGCGGCTGTTTAACCCTTTGTGGCCATCGCTTGTCGAGCACGCAAATCCAAAGCAAACATGACAACAGTAATAATTGAAAATCATGGCAATAAAAGCGTAACGCAAAGGGGTTGGCGGCAAGCGCTAAGCGGAAAAATCAACAGCTGCATTTATTGTCGCTCAGTGCCGTCGGCAGCGCAGCGCAGCGATAGCGACAGCAGCAACAGCAGCAGCCATTGTTTTGGTGCTCTCTCTTTGTGTGGCTCTGCTCAGCAATGGGTGTGAGCAGGCCAGCTAGCTGTGCCAGTCTGCTTGAAGTTCGAATTTTCGACTTTCCAGTGGGCTCGTAATGGCTGACTACCGTCAAGTGGACTGGAAGTGTGTATTCCGAAACGGTTAACTCCGAAACGGTTAGGCGCGCTGCTAATGCATTTATGCTTATCGCTATTTAATTAATTTAACTGTCCAAAAATAGTTTATAAAAATGTATTTATTTAAAAAATGCGCATAAAAATTAAATAAATTCTGCATATGCGGCTATTGTTGCTATACTAAAACGAGTTGAATCAAATAAAAAAATAAAATTCAACTGAAATTTGAAATTTTGGAGCTATTGTTGGGGCGTTGTTATTATGGCTTATTGATTATGTCGTTTCTGAATAATAAATGAAAACAGGAAATCAGAAATGGAATTTGTTTTGTTTTCTTTTCTTATCTTATAATAATTTTAATTCGGAATAAATCAAATGCGGAAAAGATCCAATTCACGAGATGGGAGTGAGTAAGAATTATTAACAATAAATATCACAGTTTAATGAATTTCATTAGCGAACGCTGCTTTTGTCATTGTCATTGTTGTTCTTCTTCTTGTTGATTTATTTGCTATATATTAACAGATATATACGAATTTGCTACACATGTTTCACATTTTTCCAGATTCGAATATTGATAAAAGTTTTTGGTGTTCGATCAATGCCGAATGGCATTAATATTTTATGAATTTTTATTTATTTTTTAACGCTTCGCAGCATAAATTGAATTTTAATATGTATTCAATAGGAAATGTGCGCTATTTAAATAAGTAAATTAAAAAACAATTAAATATCAATCAAAGCGCTTCACTAAATCAATTAATTGTTTTGGCTTGTTTCAAGGCTTCCAAACTATATAAATGTATTAATATATATACATAGATATGTGCGTGTGTCGATTGTCGATCATTCTGGTCGCCTGAGTGTCGATAAAGTTGTTGTTTTTAGATTGAAACGTCGCAGCCAAAAACAAAATCAACACAACTAAATGCAGGCTGCTCATCAGTGTAAAAGAGAGAGAGGAAGAGAGAGAAAGAGAGAGAGAGGAACATAATGAGTGTGTGTGAGCGGGGTGGGGGTGTAGTGGGTTGCATCAGTCAACCGTTTCAACAGAGACAGAGACGGCGTCAACTTTGATAAATCAACTAGCAAAACCAACAAACGCAGCCATTTTCCGCCGCATGCGCATATGTGCGCAAGCAGGCCAGCTATAGTGCCGCATGGCAACGCCCCACAGCGAGAGAGCGGCAGCGACAACGGCAACAACAGCAATAACAGCAACGACGACGACGGCGACGACGACGCAGACGCAGACAGCGACACAGTTGTCAACCGCATGACAGCTCCCAATAATAAAGTCATATCGAGCCCTAACAAGCGCGGGCCCCAACGTAAAGTGAAGGCGGAGTGAGTGAGCAGGCAAGCGAAAGAGTGAGCGAGCAAAAACTCAGTACGGATTCCAAAAACCGGTTCGACGTTGATTCGCTCTTGTACTGCGCTGACTGGAAACATTGTCTCGCTGTCAGATTACAGGTGACAACAGCGAAGAGTGTCACAGAGAGAGAGAGATGGAGCGAGAGAGAGTGTGTGTGCTGAGAGCTGAGAGCAGCGACGGCAGCTCTGCCAATCGATCAGTCGAACAGTTGAGCAGTCGAAGTTTGAGCATCGTCTTCGTCACTGTCAGAGGCCAGACGACGACGACGACGCGACACTCGCTCGCTCTCGCTCTTGCCCACACACTGACACACACATACGCGCATGCATACGCCTGTGCACCCTATGCATACGAACACTGTCGACTATCTCGCTCTCGCGCTGACAGTTCAATCGGTCGCTGCCTGCTTCTGCTGGCTTCGTCGCAGCGGCAGGCAACTGTGATTAGTTAATTTAGTCGTTGAGCTCGCATGGAACAGACGTGCGCGTCGCAGTTGTCGGAACAGCAAACAGCAAGCAGCAACAGCAATACGAGAACGAAACGAAGATACAAATAAATAAAGATACAAATTAAGAGAAATACAAAAAACAAACAAACGCAAACAGTTGCCAAAGTGAATTCACAGTTCAAGTGAAGTGTAAAGTGAATAAGAGCAAGAAGAAGAAACAAATTGAAGCAGCAAGTGAAGTGAACAAATGGCCCTTGAGGATCGCTGCAGTCCACAATCAGCGCCCAGTCCACCAGGTTGTTTACCACATTCGCCTCCTCAACAGCACCAGCAGCATCTACTGCAGCATCCTGCGAACATTCGCATTCACGCAATACCCATCTCGATTACTGCCCTGGACATGAGTCTTCAGGGTCCGGGCTCGGCTGCTACGGCGGCAACGCTGTACCAGCAGCAGCAGCTTCAACACTTGCATCAGCTCCAGCAGCTGCAGCAGCTCCATCAACAGCAGCTGGCCGCCTCGGCTGGCGTCTTTCATCATCCGGGCACCTCGGTGGCCTTTGATGCAGCGGCCTTGCATGCGGCTGCACTGCAGCAGCGGTTGAGTGCCAGCGGCTCGCCGGGTGCCCATTCGACGGGCGCCTGCTCCACGCCCGCCTCGACGCTGACCATCAAGGAGGAGGAAAACGACTCGATACTCGGGGACAGCTTCCATAACCAGACAGGGACCACCATGGCCACCGAGGAGGATGAGGAGGAAGACGACGACATTGATGTGGATGACACGGCCTCTGTGTCCGGCTCTGCTCGTCTGCCGCCACCTGCTCATCAGCAGTCCAAGCAATCGAAGCCATCGCTGGCCTTCTCCATCTCCAACATACTCAGCGATCGTTTTGGCGATGCTGCCAAGCAGATCAAACAGGGCGAATCCTCTAGCGCCGTCTCTGCTGCTGCGGCTGCAGCCAGCATCTTCCGCCCCTTCGAGGCGAGTCGAGCAGCCGCTGCCACGCCCTCCGCCTTCACGCGCGTGGATCTGCTGGAGTTTAGCCGGCAGCAGCAGGCCGCAGCTGCAGCCGCCACCGCTGCAATGATGTTGGAGCGCGCCAATCTGCTGAACTGCTTCAATCCGGCTGCCTATCCACGCATTCACGAGGAGCTCGTGCAGAGCCGGCTGCGCCGTGGCGCCGCTGGTAATCCCAATGCTGTGCTACCCCCGACGGGCAAGCTGACGGAATCCGGCATGGAGAAGTCCGCTCTGGGCTCTCTGTGCAAGACCGTCTCGCAGATTGGCCAGGCGCAGTCGACGCTGCCAGCAGCAACCACGCCCAGCAGTAGCAGCAGCAGCGCCAGCCAGTTGGCTAGTCCGCCACCCGCCTCCAATGCATCTACCATCAGCAGCAGCAGTTCCTCCACAGCAGCCAGCTGCAGCAGCAGCAGCGCCTGCTCCTCCTCCGGCAGCTCGCTAAACTCCTCGCCCAGCAGTCGCCTGGCCGGCGTCAACAATGCCAACAATGCCAGCAGCCCGCAGCCCATACCGCCTCCATCGGCCGTCAGTCGTGACTCCGGCATGGAGTCCTCGGACGACACGCGCTCCGAGACGGGCTCCACCACCACCGACGGCGGCAAGAATGAGATGTGGCCCGCGTGGGTCTACTGCACACGCTACAGCGATCGTCCCAGCTCAGGTGTGTATTACTCCTAGATGTATGGGGGGAGTTACTACTAAATGGATATATTATATATTATATATTATATATTATATATTATATATTATATATTATATATTATATATTATATATTATATATTATATATTATATATTATATATTATATATTATATATTATATATAATATTATATATAATATATAGGATAGAAATAGTAAATAGTAAATAGAAAGATTGTTAGAAGGAAGAAAGCCATTGGGTCTAGGGACTTTGTTGTTGCCTCTAGGGAGAGTGTGATTACGTTTAATATAAAAACAAATTAATAACTACAGAAATTTGTTAATATATAATTTATTAACTTCAATAGTCGATTTAGAAGATGACGTGTTTGGTTAAGGAAATATGTGAAATTCTGTTTAGGTTCTTTAGGAATTAAAAAGGGAAGCCTTCGAAACGCAGTTCTAGAAAAACTTACGCTTTGCTAGAATCTAAATCTGTTTATATCTATTATTTTATATCTATCAATTTCAATTTATTATATCTATTAATTTCTATCTATATTGAGTACAGTCATTTACTACAGTAGTTCATCAAATTCTGCTTTCCTGCAAGCCGGAAAAATCTTTGCAAACTTCCTTTAAGGCTTAGTTAGTATGGGAAGCACTCGGAGTAACTGCAGTTAGTCAAACTCTATTTTGTTATGCTTGTCTAACGATTGCTCTTATTAGTTCCTGAATTATAAATCATGCTCAAATTGCCTTCATAGTCCACACACATGCGTGTGCCTGTGCGTGTGTGTGTGTTGGACCACCTCCAACGCTGAGCAGCGGCAGCCTTTCATGAACGTGTTTTGTGTCTTGTTGACTGTCATAAAAACCGAAGGACACTGCAACAATTAGGTGTTCAGGGCTCGATTCTAGATGCTCAATTCTCAATTGTCAATTCTCAATTCTCAATTGTTGATTCCCGATTGTCGGCTTTGCTCTGCTAGGGCCTGTAGGGCCTTCCGGGTCGGGCCGCATGCAGCGCGGCTGCTGCTGTTGCTGCCTTTTGAAGCTGACACTTTATGTGACAACATGTAGCGCAGGCGGCTCGTTTGGCTATCGCCAACATCCAGCCGAAGGTCAGAGGTCACGATTCTTGCATCGATTTCATATTCGATTGCCACTAAAACGCGCTGACGATTGACGATCCCTGCCGCTGCCGTTGCACAGAGAAAGTGCCCATTAAAGAGCGGAGACCAAAAAGAAAATCTATTTTCCAAACAGCATGTGTGTGTGTGTGAGTGTTGGTGTTATTGCTGCGATGCGTTAATTGACAAGTTAAGTGCTTTTTTATGACTCGAAATGGTTTTTTAATTTGGTGTCGATGGAAACAGCCCAACAACAGCCACTAACAACAAGGCGTTGATAGCCGGCGATTACTGCGAGCGAGATTAATCAAATTATCTAAGCAATCGAGCAATTAAATTATAATTTACAATGTGTCGACGATTGCTCCAAGACTTCAAACTAAACGAAATTCAAATCGCCAGTTGCGAAACAGCCGCAGCTCAGCTCAGCTCAGCTCAGCTCAGCTCAGGGTCTAAACTGGCAATTAGCTAAGAGCAGAAATCGTTTGTCAATTAGCTAAATATGAATTAAGCAGTTGGGATTATTAAGTCATTTTCGCTTGACTTGACTTTTGGCACTCTCCCTCTCTCGCTCTCCCTGTGAACTTTGACGCTCGTCATATTAATTAAAAGTCAAGCTGAAATGGCGAATGTCGTGTCTGGAATGGACGTTGCTTCCGTTTAGTTCGTTAGACGCTGCTCTGACAGCTGACAAATTGAGCACGCGGCACAGCCGTTGCATGCCACAAGTTGATGCGAGAAAGCAGCGTCTAGGGCACACATATATGCTAATTAAACCATTAATATTATTAATTATATGTGTCTCGGTGAGGAGGGGGAGACATTCTTTTGTTTCAAGCACGCTCGACTAACTTTCTACTCATTTGTATGCCTTTGCAGGACCCCGCTACCGTCGCCCCAAGCAACCAAAGGACAAGACCAATGACGAGAAGCGTCCACGCACTGCCTTCTCCAGCGAGCAATTGGCACGCCTAAAGGTAAGCATCCTCTCTATACCAGCTCATCCCAGTCCCAGTCCATCGTCCATCCCTTTCCATCTCCAATGTTGTGTCATATTTACAACCAAAATATTTACACACTTTACACTGCAACAACCGCCCGACCACCCGCCCGCCCGCTGCGCTGCATCCTGGCGACGGCAATGCCTGTGTCCTCAACTAAGCCAATTAGACATGCTCATATTTCACTCACACTACCCGTCTTTCAACTAAACCGCAAATAATTGATTTGCCTCAGAGTCTACCTAGCCCTGCAGACCTGACCCGACCCTAGTTGCCTTTTATTGCGCACACAATTTGCTCATCTTTCTCTCTCTCTCTCTCTCCCTCTCTCTCTCTCTGCAGCGCGAATTCAATGAGAATCGCTACCTCACCGAAAGACGACGCCAGCAGCTGAGCTCCGAGCTGGGCCTGAACGAGGCACAGATCAAGATCTGGTTCCAGAACAAGCGCGCCAAAATCAAGAAGTCGACGGGCTCGAAGAATCCGCTGGCCCTGCAGCTGATGGCCCAGGGTCTCTACAATCATACGACGGTGCCGCTGACCAAAGAGGAGGAGGAGCTTGAGATGCGCATGAACGGCCAGATACCGTAAATGGCAACTAGCTGCCCCCGGCTTCCCCAGCTCCCCCTGCTCCCCACACCCGGCTGGTCCTCAGTGTGCAATATATAGAAGAAAAGGCGCCATTCTTCAGCCCTTAGCTGGCTGCTGGAATTTATGTGAATTTGTGCGGCGTACAAAACTGTTTCATGTGATATAATTGTAATATATATAAAGCTCTAAAATAATATCGTACATCGTCTATCGTATGCTTAAGCTTCGAGTTCTCTTCTAGCGAGTATTTATTTTCAACTATATAAAAAGTATTATTATTTAACTGGCCTAACGCGCCAGCCCCTTCATAGTTAAAGCCTTTGCAGCGTCACCTACCTAATTTCTATAAAGCAGCTACGTTTTTCAATATATATACATATATATATATATATAGATGTGTATATGCTTGACATGTTATAAGTAATTTAAAAGTTCTTTAGATTAATTTCTAGTTTAGACAACACACATTAAAGAAGTATTTCTAGTTTTTAAGACGCAAAACGAAATTGTTATGGATACAAAAACAAACAGAAAAAATGCTTTAAAAACAAACAAAAACAAAAACAAAAAAATTATGAACATAAATCCAAATGCACCTAAAAAACAAAAGCAATTTATCGAAATCCATGTGCTAAAACAAATTCATAAAAACAAACAAGAAACCCCAAACAAAAAAAACTTAATTTAAAATAAAAAATATATTTCAAAAAATTTAAATTCTGTGATTTTATTTATTTTATTCTGAAGTGAAAAGGAAAAATGCAATAAATAGTGAAAATCGTTTAGTATATGAAATTGTTTCAAAAGGATTGCAGTGTGGAGTAAACTATCAAACTGAGCGTGCTCGACTAGCAGATACCTTAAGCTCTGTGCATTCTGCTGCTGTTGCTTACAAGTTCTTAAATATTCATTTTTAAGAAGTTTCCTCATCACTATTCAAATCCACATCAATGCCAAAAGCATCAATGCTCTCCATCTCTCTAGAGTATTTATAAAATGTCAAAAACCTGCTTTAATTAACATATAAAAAGTGTAATTTATTGAAAGTCTTAAAGTCGATTATGAGTATGCATAATATAATGTTAACATGGCGTGAGTAAATGTTTCTATCTGCATTCAATGTGAGTGATATACGAGCCAATGATTAATTTGATACGCTGAGAGTCAGTCAGAGAGTCACCCTGTCTGAGTGTGCAGTCTCGCTGTTGGCCATGTTTTGACGGCGAATATTTGATATGAAAATAGCGGATTAGTCGTGTATGAGGTGGCTGCATTCAGGTTAATAGGCTAGCTACCAACGCCTTATCCACTGAGCTACTGTAGCTGCAGAACAGACAGGCGCCGTCGCCTGCATTCGGATGACATGTCCACAGTCGCGTTCGCATTCGCATTCGCATTCGCATTCACATCAAAGGCCGTCGCCGGCGCAACTTTAAATCATGTAAACTTGTCACCAGTCGCGGGTGAGAGGGAGGCTGAGAACCAGTCGGTAGACAGCTGGCAACTGGTAAGAGGAGAGGAGGGTATATGATTCGCTAATTGCACAATCACAGCCCAACGAGGACAATGGGAACGATGACGATGAGAATGAGGATGAGGATGAGGATGAGGATGGGGTTGAGTGACGGCAACAGCATTCGATTCGATTTGATGCTCTGCCATTTAATTAAAAAGCAAATCTTCATATAAACAAATATTGTGACAAGACAACACGGTTGCCATCAAATGAAACTGCACCCAGCCGACAACAACAACAACGACAACAACCACATCAAATGATTTATTAGCACAGATTTAGCGGGCGAGCTGCAAGTCGCGTTAATTTGCTGAAAATAAATGCAAAAATTCAAAATGCGAAAATTCATAGACAGACAAAGTTGTTGTGGGAGGCAGCGAGGCGCTGAGAGGGGACAACCAGATCGGCAGCTGACATTTACTGGCAAGCGTTGATGTGTGCGACTGATGCTGATGCTGATGCTGATGCGAATCTGGCAGAGATCGGGCCACATAAAATGAATTAATGCCAACGCTAATTGCGCCAAATGCGCGCCACAACAAAAATGAAAGAAATACGATTATATGCGTTGCCATGTTGCCACATGCTACACACCATGCCCATTGCCCCCCGGTTCCCTAACAGCGAGTGCCAAGCAGCTTAAATCAGGCGTCTTATAGAGGCGCAAATCCATTTGCGCACGTAATGAACCAATTAGACAATTGCATGTGGCTCAACTCGACTCAAATGAGCCGGAAATGAGCTGGCTCTGGCTCCGGAATGGAGCTGGCGCTGGAACTAGTCAAAGGTCTATTTCAACACTTCTAATTAGCAGAAATTGCCAAGTGACACACTAAATTTCACTTTACCATTTCGGCTTGAGGAATTCCAATTGCGCATTGCTACAATGTAGAGATCGGCTATTAAAAAGCCACAAAATTCCATATGTGCGCGTATGCCACATAAGTCAACCTCATGCCCAGTCTCCCAGCCCCCACTTGCTGCTTGCTGTGTGGGCGCCCAACGATCGTCGCCTCCCCTTGCCCCCTCCTCAAGCATCTGTGATTTATGCGCCTTTGAGGCACAAAATCTGCTGGCATCTTCCCCTTTGATATCGCCACGTGGCAGCCCCTTCGCTAATTGCGTTTTGGTTTCGCTTTTGCCCACTAACTCCGAGGCGGCATTTTACAGTTTGTCGTATTAATTGCTGGTCGCACAAAGTCGCCTCATGTGATGGCTGCACTGCAAGAAAATAGGGCAACGATTAGCAATGAAAATGCATTCAGTAAGCGAGAAGTTAGTCTGTTTTGTAGCTATGTGTATTGGAGATGAAATATGTGTAACGCTTAGCTGTTTAATATACGACAGTTCTGATTTCTCCTACTCTTAACATATTGAAAAGCCTTAAATGAAAACCCAATTGAAAGTTATTGAAAATTAATTCATTGTCCGTCAACTTTCTTTGATTTTTTATTTAATATGTAAATAAAGCTACAAATTGATGTTAAGATCCTTTGAAATCTAAAATAAAAATCTAATTTACCTTTTTTAATTTTTAAAATTATTTTTTAATTTTTGTTTTTTAATTTTTAGCAAACAGAAATACAAAATGGAAAAATATAAAAAATAAACTAAAATAAATAAACCAAAAAAAAACCAAAAAATATACAAAACTAAATAAGGAAAATATTAAAAAATAATCTTAAGAAATTTTAAAAGTATGTCTAAAATATTAGAAAATTTTTAGAAAAACAGAAATATATTAAAATGAAAAATCAAAAATATAAAATAAAAACAATAAAAAAAAGTATATAAACAAAACTTCTTTTGATTTCTATATATATCAAAAATAATTATTATAATGTATATAATTGAGCTGCTCACATTTTTATCAATTGACTTAGAGTTAAAACACTTTCTTGCAGTGTCTGCCCCAATAATATTCTATATAGTTTTGTGCATCTAGTAAATGTCGAAAAAGTTAGCGGCGTCTTCTAGATTTATTTGCTGCAATGGGCAATTGGAGCTGCCACTTGTTTCCGCTTCGCTTTATCAATTGATTTACGATGCGATAATAAAATGCATCCCCCAACCGCCGCCCGCCACCCACAGCCCCCTGGCTCTGGTGGGGAGCATTTAGGATGCCAGCCACAGCTTTTATGTCTGATGTACGCCATTTGCGCGTTTATAGCTGCAGTTGGAGTTGGTGTTGGAATTGGAGTTGGAGTTGCTGGTGCAGTTGCTGATGCAGTTGCTGATGGCATTTCATAATCGCTGCCAGTTCCATGGAAAGTGCACTCAATTATGGCCAACAGACAGGCGCTGAGTTTGACTCGGCTCGGTGTCTGGATGTCTGGCTGTCTGGCTGTCCGCTTGTCTGGTTGTCTTGGTGTCTCTCGTGGCTTTGTGGGATAGTGAGTATCTTGAAGTGAACGCTGCTGTCCCGCTCTGGCGCTACACAGGGGCTGGCTAAAGCGTATCTCATGCGCTGCCAACTTGGCCTAAACAAACATTCAAATGCGAGAGGCAAATGCCAGGCGGCAGCCACACTTGGCCACATTTTCAGCAGAAGTCAACGCCAACATATCCACACACTCGCACTCGCACTCGCATTCACATTCACATTCACATCATCATTGCCGTCAACTCGAAACGTCAATTGTGTTGACTCAACGCATTTGAGCGACTTGCACAAGACTCTCGCCCGGCTTCAGGCCGAGATCGAGGCAGACTGACTCGAATCCCCAGCCCAATACCCATCCCAGCTGGCGGCGCTTAACGCTGCTTCAATATTTGAGCTGTTAACTTGTGAGTTTTGTAACTAAGTATCAAATACGTAATTGTAATTGATTGTCTTCCCTGTGCGCGGGTGGGAGGCACCGACTAGCAGGACGCTAATTGTTCAACTGCTTGCGCCTTTGTTTGACTGCCAATTCGCACTTTCAGCGCTCTCAGTTGTTGTCAGGTTGAGCTCAGGTTCTATTAGTGCGCCGCTAACTGCTCTCAATGCCCCGCTAAGTGACTCGGTCAACAAAGGCGCCTCGACCAAGCCAATATCAATGGACGCACCAGCGACATTTTCAGCTATCGAAACGTCTTTAGCTTTTAAATGATTTAACTATTATTTTTAAATTTCTTTTCTGTATTTATAACTTTCGAGAGAGAGGGAGAGCTTGGCCTTATCAAATTTATTATTATTTTATTAAAATAGTCCACAAATTGATTTTTAAATATTTTTTATTTACAATCTATATTCTATAAAGATAGACTTTAAATATGTTTTGTAATTATTTAATAAAAATTCTTTTTCTGCATTTATAACTTTCGAGAGAGATAGAGAATATTTAGTATTGAAGCTTGGCCTTATCAGATACATTATTATTTTATTAAAATTCCCCACAAATTGAAAGAAAAATTGAGTTTAATTTATTTTTAAATATCTTTTATAGTTTTATCTCTCTTCAAATACAATCTATATTCTCTAAAGATAGATTTTAAGTACGTTATATAATTATTTAATAAAAATGCACTCACCA